TCGCTGCAATTACTGCTGCGCAACAACTTTTACACTCTCTTAAATACGTTATCAGAGAGGTGAAAAACGCTGTCGCTGCTTGGCTCGGCCTTGGCCAGCAGCGGGTCTGTCTTAAAGCCGTCTGGCATTGGATATATCTGACATAGGGGAAACTTCTAGCAGCTTTGTACAGAAGCCACCCCTGTAACCCCCCCGCTACCAAAACCTTGCCACGCAGACCCGTTACAAGACATTTTCAGTTGTTCTCAAGGTATACCTGAAATGTGGACTCTCTTTACATGTAAAGGGCAAATAAGCAAAATAGAGCATTAGTTGTTTTGAACTAACTCAAAGAAAATTCCTTTTAGATCTTTTGTATCTCATTGTCATTTTAATTGGTAACGAACTCAGGAAAATAAAAGCACAGAAGTATAGCACTTGCATTGTGTTTGTGCTCTTAAGTTCTGGTGTACATTTGACTGCATTCTGTTGTATATTTGGCCACATTAAGCAATACTTTACTGCATATTTCCAAGCTCCTTGTCTCTTTAATCATTTACATGCCTTGCTAAGCTTTCCTTTAAATATCAGTTCATTTCTATGACTATGTAGTTACCTTCAGTTTGACTTTCTGCAGGGGAATCTCTGCATAGCTATTCTCTGAGAATACTTGGGAAATGATACTCAGAACAATCTGAGATTGCACTAGTATGGAAAAGCTTGAAAATGTTCACTTTGATAGCTTTAAGTAAATAAATAAGGCTTTCGCTGAGTTCAGTATGTTTGCAAATTCACATTTTTTGGTTAGCTGTGGAGTATCTTGTACTTTGCATAAGTTACTTCAAAATTCACCTTTTGATTTTGAACTCCAGGGCATATATACTTTCTCCTGAGTACTTTAGATGCTGGGGTTCTTTTCCTCTTATAAGCAATTGCAAAATTAAAAATCATTTGAGATATAGTATAGATAGTAAGTAGCTTTAAAGTGAACATGCAGGAGGGACTTAGAAGTGGAGCGTTCTCTGCATGGAGCTATGCAGATTAGAACACACACCTCTGCATCATCCAGAGAAACTTATTTTCCTTAAGCTTCTAGTCTCTCTTTTTCCTTGTTAATGGAATTTTCAGGTTTGCATATGTCGTTAGTTAATGATTTTGTGGTGATAACATTCAGTACTGGTAAAAAAATATCATAAATAGGGATCCATCTTGATGAGTAGAAGACTTTACCTTCTCTTGATCTTAGTGACTGGTAAAACATAAGGAACTACAGAGAAACAATTCAACAGGCACAGGACTTTGAAAGCAAGACAACTCTATGCAGACAGATGACAGTAGAGAAGCAGAGGATGTACAGAGGGATTAAATACTTTATTTCCTTGAAAAGAACTCAAAACTGTGATCAGTGGATTAGGAAGACAGAATGAACTAAAATAAAACTAAAGCAAAATCAAAGAATTAAAGTGGGCAAAAAGAACCACCATAATAAAATTCACCATTCATGTTCTGTGTGTACACAACGACAAAACTGAACAGACCAGGAAAAATGCACTGCATGATTTTTGTTGCTTTTTAAAAATTACTTAAAATGGATCCTAGTAATGAAGTGTGGTCAACATAACCATTAACAAGGAAATTTAGAGAGATGTATTAAGATAATTTTTGAATAAGATTCAGATTTATTACAAAGTGCTTTTTTCAATAGTAGGAAATGCCTAAAATGTCTCAGGAAAGAGGGATATTATTTCTACTCATAGGAGTTATGCCCTTGTTATCTTCAGCATACTGGTGTTCATTTTAATTACAGCTTGTAAGGTTTTGCCAGCATAACTGTTGCTTTTCCCTACTAATCTTCCATGCTGAAATGAAAAAACCCCTGCCATTACTGTTAGGCATTTAGATCACTAATTATAACTCTCCTGCATCTTTAACTTGTGAATATATAAGTTGCAAAGTGTTTTTGTGTTATCAGCTGATAGATCAAGTGATACTATTGCTACAACCATATAATTTAATTTATGCTCTGATACCATGGTTGCATGTAGACATGATGCTTTCCTCATATTCTGTTGTCTGTGCCATAACACACTTACGCTACTAAAAAATCAGATATATTCTGAGCAGGATAGGAAAGGTATAGAACTACCAATGACTGCAGCAGCTGCTATGGAAAAAATCAATCTAGATAATATCTTGCGGTAATCAATTTCAGTTGCAAGTAGGAAGCCTGAACATGAGGAAACATAAATTTTTATTCATGGGAGCAGCCTTAATTGATCCCAGTAACAGCAGCACTGAGAACACAGGCACTGCAACCCAATAAAGTTGTCTATCATCCTTGAAGTTGCAGATTGATAAACACGCAAGGCACTCGGATGTGTCTAGGAAGAGAAGCTGCAGAGAAAACATGATTTTTATTTTTATTTTTCTGTCCCAGTTCTCTTCTAAATAGTCTCTTATCCAGTTGAAATTCTGCTCATGTTGCTCTTTGATAAATGTAACAATGGCATATATACCTTTTTTGTTCATTCATTTTAAATTTCCCTATTGCTTTTTAGCAAAACTCAAACCACATTCTTAGATTTGCTGCTTACCTAGTTAAATATGCTAGCTAGTAATACTTATAACAAGTCTGGCTGAGTAGTTAACTCCTTCTGAAATGCTTAGAAATCCATAATTATTCTTGAACACTTTATAACTTTCCTATTACTGTTTAATATTCTTAAGTATGATCCTGAAGATTGGAATTCATTATACAGAACCTATTACAAAAATAAACAAACTTCACTTAATTCCTGAGTTCATGTGAATGGCCTCTATTTCCAGAAAAATCCTTTGAGATTCAAATAAGTCCATGAATTTATGAGTTTCTAAAGGTTAATTCCTGTCTTGATCTGAAGTTTACGACCTTTTGTATACTTAGTAATGACTGAAAGGATTTCATGTTTTAGGAAAAGTCCTTCCTGGGCACCTTCAACTACACTCCTCCTCTGATGGAGTGTTCTTGTTCTTAGAAAATTTTCTGTGTACTGTCAGGATTATTATTTTTTTAATGCTGAATCCTTTATTCTACAAGGAAGAATAACCTGGCAAAGACAATAAAATAGTATGCATGTCCTATTTTAATCTGTGGTGTATAGGAGCTGAATTATTTTTTTTCTCATCCTCTTTATTTTCCTTCATTTCTCTTGCATGATTTCAGTTGTTTGAGAGAGTTCAGGCATCTTTCCTTGCTTCTCTGATCAGCAATAATTCTCAGCTGCTGAGTTCTCGGTTCATATGTAATATGCTGAAGCAAGCTGGGTCATATTGCCCTTTGAGAATCTCGTTGAATTTTCACTCTTCAAGTTTTTATGAATGTAAGACCTTGTAAAAGTCCTTAGAGTCAAATTGAGTCTGCCTCATTCTTTTGCTCTTCTGATGTAGTAATTATAAAGTTGACATCATTACAGATAGTATTTTATCATGTATATAGTTTTGCTGTCTCTCGGAATTCTTCTCAGTGATGAACTGAGGCTGCAAGAACAATGTCTTTTCAGACTGTAAGTCTGGAAAATTGTTCACTGAACCAAAGCTTAGAGTATATATAGAGATTTGCAAAGTCAGAACACAAGTTTGATTGGTGTTACAAACTGTTGATTTCCTTTTAAAAATGTGTGTACAGAGTAGTCCATGTTATAGTCATTATATTTTTAATTTGTTATATAAATGTTCAATGAGAAATTAACGCTATTAGACATTGTCTACTGATTGGCTTTATTTAGATTTCACATTTTTCTGGTGTTTAGAGCAACAAAAAAGATCTGTGTAAGAAAATATGGTGCTATTGTGACGATGTTAATTATGCACAGTAGGTTTGGGCAAGATTTTATTTTACTAATATTAGTATTTACCAACTTTAATAATGGGGTGTAGCAATGTTGTCATTACTCTGTCTAAAAAGACAGGGTCTTTTTAGAGTACTTTTGTCACTTTTTCCTGGTATTCGAATGAGAAACTTCTGCTTGCACTAAAGAAAATCAGAGAACAGGTATAACAAAACCAAAGCTGCATACATGCAAAATAAAGCCCACCTTTTTATAAAAGTATATTTAATTATAATGGTTGGATATACATTTGATGTATTTAAAACACTAAAAAGAAGAACAATTTTGGCAAGATTCTTAAAGAGTGCGCTTCAATAAAACATTGAGTGCTAACACACTGTATTATTCTCATTATTTTAGTTCTGCTTCAGTACATCAAATTGGCCTGACTATTGCTAAAAATGGAATAGTTTGAAATTGAAAGAGTAATCATGATTTTGCATGCCCATACTTACTTTTGTTGAATTATACTCGTGTTCTTCTGTGACCTGCAAAGTCAATATCAGCCCCTAAATTAAAATACTTCTTTTTCATTTCTGAAGAAATGTCAAATACTAAATGTTTATTGATCATCTATTTATGTAAAAGAATATGCATGTGCTTTTAAAATGGAAATATTGACAACAAACGCTTCTTTTTTTTGCAGGTACTCAATGGTCTTGAAGGTATTGAGAATTACCTTAAAATCTTTGATTCAGAAGGCTTACATTTGCCTATCTTGCCAATGAAGTATAAGGAATTACAGGAAGAAATTAAAGGTTACACAGTGACTACCTTGCAAAAGGGACAAACTTTAGTTAATAAAGCCGGTTCTCACAGGTATTCCCTCCATTTTTTGCATATCTGCTGCCTTTCTGCAAACCTGCCTGTTGCTTTATAACTCGACTAGTTAGAATCAGGCTGCATTTAGAGCCAGTGTAGTCAATTGAGTAGATGTGCGTTTAAATGACCTGAAACTCAAAGTTTCTGCCATACTTACCTTTTGCTATTTATACATGCTAATCTCTAACAAAAATCTTTAGCAATACTGCATGCTACTTGTAAGAGTGGTGTCAAACAGTGGAATTGTTATGTTAGGTCACTGTTCAGGAACTGTGATTTAGTTAACATTTTGGAAAAGTAAATGCATGTGAATGAAAATTAAAATATCAGTGGCCAAGAACACTCACTGCTACCCAATGTAAACCTTTTAGACCTTTTTGAAAGTCGTCATTATATCAATTAAAATGTGATTTGATGCAAGACAAAAATACAAGTGTTTAGCCAAGTGCAGAAAATATGGAAGTTTCTCCATTTCTTAGTAGATTTAATATGTAAAGGAAATAACTTTTCTTTTCTTCTGAAGCTTTGGTTACACTGATGATGTACTCTGCAGATATGATTTTTACACTGATGTGAAGCATGACAGTTTAGAATCAGTCCTAGTGGCTTAATATCTCTTACTTTCCAGGTCTTAGTAGGAGGCCGGTGCAGTAAGAATGAAGACCATTTATACTAATGAGTTCTACTTCAGATACAGAGCAGATGACAATGGCTGATGGTTGGCTAGTAGGCAGCTTAACTCTACTTCCCATTACATGCTAATGTCTTTAATTGTTCCAGACATTTGAATACCTTTACTCCAACACAACAACTGAAAGTCTAGATAAGATTTTCATTTAATCTCACGACCTTGCAAAAAATTTTGTCTAAAATGCCTTCACCTGTCGCCCCAGATGTAATTGGCTTGAACATAGCAAAGGGACAAAATAGAAAATTCAAGTAGGAAGTTGCTTTGAGAACACATGCAGCTGGTTTTACAGTTGTTGTTACTGCTTCATCACCTCCTGATATTTTCACTGAATGGAAAGGAAATGGATTTTCCTCAGTGGAAGTTTGACTTTGATTCTTAAACCAGCCAAAATTCCGGAACACATGCTGCTGTTCTCTAGGACTTGACGTTCTGCTAGATGTTACCTCAACAGAAGCAGATGTTGTATTTCAAATTGTCTGCACAGCATTGATTAATGTTAAGAACACCAAAGACCTTGATAGAAGGAATCCCTAAAATAAAAAGTAATTAATTTTCTTTCTTCCTTATTAAGATTTTTTCAAATATGTTTAAACAGTCTAATTCAGCGGTGGGATAGCAAGATATCATCAGTACACATCAAGAAGAAAGGGATGAATTTGTCAAAATAACTCTATCTGTCATTTCTGGTAAAATTCAACAAAAACAGGTAAAGCCACAGGCAGATCTACTGTGTACCAAAACACTGCTCAAGATGTTCTGTAAATAAATGCAGAAGGTAAGATTTCTGCCTAGACACTATAATTTAAAAAATGGCAAAGCATTACAGCTGAAGCAGCAGTGAGTTGGAGAAGGAAGGTGGAACTTAAAACATCAATAGGCAATGTCACTAGAAATGTGTTTTGCTGTTTCTAAAGAACAGTGAAAAATCCCAGGCTTTCAAATATTTTAAATGTCTTCTTGCATCATAAAAATAAGTAAGCCCCTTTCTAAGAAAGTAAGCAGAGAATATTGTGGCTTTTCAGTTTTTACCTGCTGCCTTCAGGCCTAATTGCCTGAAATTAATGAATTTGCCATATATTTCAATGTGTATCGTGTGTTCCAGCCTCCAGCCATCTTGGTGGTCTCTGCTCAATTCACTTCAGCTTGTTTGTCTGTCTGTCTTGTACTGTGTGGACCCAAACTGGACAGACTGGCCTCCAGATGCAGTTCCACAAGCCCTTAAGGTCTAGTCTTTAATGCCACAAGGAGGATCCTGACTCACATTCAAATTTTTGTACATCAAGACAAGTCTAGGTTTTTTTGCCTAACCCATGGCTTTAGGAGATACCCAGAATGCTCCCAGACAGCTCATAAGCCTAGTAATGGTGACACAGTAAGTTCTGTCAGCAAATGTGGTAAGGCATAATATGCCAGAACATGGTTTCCCCCCAAAAATGTTATGTTTTGAAAGAGGAACGAGAGAGGCCTCTGTTTGTCATGTATAAGCCACTGTGCTCCCCTTTAAATGCTGGCCAGTATTTAGCCCAGTGATTAACCCACATGGGACAACAAGATTTGTGTGAACAGCTGAGGGTCGAAGGAGGAAGATTTGGACAGAAAACAGAACTTCTATCAAGACTGAATCCTAATTATTATTTTGTTCCCCTTATTGCATAATTCATTGGTAGTCTTAACTGCTCTCACAGACTTCCCATTTCCTTTATCTAATTTGACTGAAAATCCTGAGGGACATGGGAAGTCCTCATCTGAAGGCAGTAAAGGGTGTAGATCTGAAAATGTTTAGGTATTTTTTTAAAAAGCTGTTTTGCTATAAGACAGTCAAGAGAGTATAATCTGACAGTGATATACATAGGTGTTAAGCATTTGCAGTCTGCTAGGATTCTTGAACTAGCTGTCAGCAAGTAGAAAGTTGTGTGGAGTTTGAAAATAGCTACCAGCTCACTGAAGGAGTGGTTGGAGCACAGTAATTTTGGAATTCCTTCATCGTTTGTGATAAAGAAGGTATTGAATGCTCTGCTACTTGCATGATTTCATTAGTTTTAAAGAAGCAGCCAGATTCTTCAGTTTTTCAGATAACATAGTTATTAATAAAGAGAAGGAATCATCTAGCCTTCCTCAGGCTGGGTGACGCTTTGTCAATTTTGATGAGATGATGCCCGAAATTGCACTGCATCTTCTGAATGAGGATACCGGAAAATGCATTTTTAATGCAATATCAGCGTGGCTGCCATGTGTAGTACTGGTTTAAATGCACTGAAAGAAGACCAAATACTTGAACACTAAGAGAATTAAAATGTAGATGGATTTCTATATCCACAATGTTTTGTTATTTTTGTTTTTAAAGTACCCAAAAATAAGCCAGGCAGTTTGTATGCATATGACAAGACAGCTCTAGTAGTTCATGGTTTACAGATCTAATACTGATATCCTCACATTGAGGGAGGACTATTTTTAAGGCTAGTGACGACTTCAGTGGCATAGTCAGAAATCCATCTCACAGTAAAAATGTGATGAAATATGATGTTAATTCTGTCCTACTTTCAAATCTTCTTGAGGTATGTGCAGCCTTATACTAAAAGGTAGTTCAAATAAATGAAAATGCTGAAAATGTTCACTTTGGAAGAGGAATAGATTACAGAAAAGTGGCAGAAGGCAGTTTTCTTGTATTCCTATTTCAAAATTAGAATATTGGTAAGACTGGTTTTTTTTTTTAGCTCTCATATTTTAAATTAAAACAACTAGAAAAACAGGAGCAAAAATTTATATGTATTAACTCTAAAAAAATTATACAATCAGTAAGTTTTGTCCATTAAGAGAACTCTTGTTACTTTGCCAGCCAATTAGCTTGCCTATTAGTGTAAGAACTGTCTTTACTGCTGTTTACTGCTGTTATAAATGTATTATGTTAACTTACAACAAACCAATGATACTTTCAAAAATTTTATTGAGATCTAAATTATCATTTTCAAAACCTATAAATCTTGTTCTCTTATTGCTTTTTTTTAAAGGACTGGTGCTAGTTGAAGTTTTTAAACATATCCTTTTTTTAAGGAGTACTGAAATAGAGGACTGATATTTTTAAAATTTAAGGATAAAACACAAATTAACAGGTCACTAATTTTTGAAAGAGTAATTTACAAAAATTGAAACTACTTACTCCCTAAAAAAGTCTTAAATTTTGGTTTGTTTTTGTGACCAATTCTTGGATCAGATTCAAACAGAATGGTTTATTAATATCATAATTCATGTTAGCAGTGTAGAATAAGACTTTTCTTTGAGGTTGCAGAATTTAACTCTCTGAGGCTCATCTGAAGTGAAGAGAAAATTTTGCTTTAATTTTAGAGGAGAAAGTAGGAAACCTTGAATAAGTACCCATATTAACATAAGTTTCTGATGAAGCTGAAGTAATGAAAGACTCACTTTGAACATATTTGTCTTGCAAAAAGTCTTACAATGAATAAATTTCAGTAGTATATCAGTTGGTGATATGGGGGTTTTTTTTAGTACCAGAATTTCAGATCTTAATTGTATGTGGTAGCTTCTTTACAATTTGAAGAGGAGCGCCTCAAGTATTCACTTTGCAAATTACGTCCCTGATATTAAACGTTTTAATTTATAAGACAACCCATTGTTTTGTAAATGGATGTTGTCTTTTCTCCTGTTGAAACATCTTTAAAGAAATGTTGACTTACAATGTATATGACATTCTTTTTTCAGCTACTGTAAAAACAGTGAAATATTTGAAAGTCCAAAGAAAACATTCTTTTAAAAGTAGAAGAGCTATGCCACGTATTTTCACTCTTTTGGGGCTGTTTCACTTGTGGTTTTAGTCAGAATTGCAAAATGAGGCATTTCTCAGTGAATCAGGATGTCTGGCATGTGAATCTAACTTATGCACTGGTGTTAAATGATTTGTTTGGAAATGTCATGCTTGTGTTGTGCTCATTATTATTTTTTTTCTGGATTCATTTTAATATTTCTCTTGGTTATTATTCCTTTAAGTGTCACTTTAAAATTCATAAGTTACATATACAAATTAACAGAAAAGGTGTTGGGTTTTTTTTAAGTGTTATCTTCCTGATTGTTGAGCAAAAATGAGAAATGACAACAGTTCTACTTTTCCATTTTAGCTCTTGGGTGACAGGAATTCAGAAAATGATGGAATATGTTAAAAAAAAAGTAGATCAATTAACCAGACAGTGTCCAGATTATAAAGAACTTACTTTGAAGAAACAACAATGGACTGCCTTACTTGAAGATCATCTACATAAGGTACATCATAACATGTAATCTTCTTAATTCATGAATAGCACGTTACAATTCCATAATTTAGCTATATGAATATTAAAGTTGACTCAAATAATTATAATAGCATATTGGTTTGTTAGAGAGCACACAATTGTAGTTAGAATGCCAAATGCTGTTATCAGCACAAATGAACCTAAAGCTATTTAGGAAAATGCAGCTTTTTCCATGAGAACATTTTACTAGTGATCTCAATAAAGCATGGATTTGCTTAGATAATGAGATATTAAAATTTGTTCTTTTGGAAAAGAGGTGAGCAATCAGAGCTGTGACCTGCATGCAGGTTTCCTATACTGTTTGTATGTGTTCTCTTTCACTTAGCTGAAGATAAAAATAGAAGTGTGACAAAATTGAGGGTTAATAAGCATGGTGACTGTGAACCACAGCAAATTTTCATTAAGGCTGAAAGCGAGTGGATTCTGTTCGCTGTAAAAATTCCCTTTATTCATTAAGACATGGATGCATCAAGGACATCACAGCTGCCTTTAAGCTGTTGAATGTTCTGTACAACTGTAGTCCTTTTTAATGACTTGTCAGAGATGGAGTAGACACATGGCTCCTAAATAAGTTTCCATGTGTAAATTCAAATTAAAAAATATAACCTTTTTGCAAGATTTATGTGAAGGAAATCCCAGAGTGTAGACCAAAGTAAATCAAATGTAATGACTGAATAATTAAGCCTACAATCTGATATTTCATAAAATTCACATGATGCTTATAATGAACTATTCTGAATCAAATCAGAAGTCAATCTGTCATAAATTGGTCCCTTTGCATACAATTTATGTAGAAGAGGCCTTGTGGTATTAAATACAGTGAAAATGTTGCTGAGTTTAGTTGAAAATAAAAGATTTGCTGATAGCCACTCTTGATCTTGTAGAAATGATGTTACCAGCATATTGTGAATCTTAAGCTAAAACTTCAATTATGAAGGTAATTTTTGCTCAAAATGTAGACTCTAATTTTGACATTTGTTTAATTCTGCAGTTTGTTCTAATCACTTTGTTACCAGTCTTGCGTTAGAGAATATTTTGAAGATTTGAGTCCTAATGCATGATCTTTCATTACAGTGAACAGTGCTTATTGTTATATTTCTACCAAGCAAAACACTTTATATTCCAACCTTTTGCTAATGTAAGGTATCCCAAAGAATCTGTTGCCAAATTAATTTTAAAAAGTTTGAACCTCAATCAGCAGCCAATTCTTAAAACATATGATCCATGTGTATTCACATATCTAATAATAACTACACATACTATGTCTGGTATCGTTTGCCTCTGCTCTTCATAATCTGTTTGTTGTCATCCTGCATATATAACATCTTACAGTGACAATGAAATGAGTTGTGTACCTGTATCTGTAGAAAAATACGTCTCTTGGCTTGACAGAGAAGCTTTAAACGTACTTTCCAAAAAAAAAAATCAGAGCATAATGAAAGTATTTCTGCCAAAGTTATCATATCTAGATTATAACACAGTTGTGCCTTATTGGAATAAGAGCAAACATGAGGGTTTTTTCTCAAATTCTGACTATACCTGTTAGAATTTTTTAGACAAAATAGTAGAATTTTCTTCCTTTTATTTTCATTCCTGAATTCCTCTGATTATACAAAGCACATAATCTAAACACCAGCCGACAGGTGTTACTTCACTTTTTTCTATACAAAGTGATGTTTTGTACTGTTTTTATACTGACTACTTGTATAAATTAACGATATAAATGCCTTTCAAATAAAGGTATCTCAGTCGATTAAAAAAATCACCCTGATGCTTGCAGTCGGTATGGAGTTTGGCTTGTATTTGTCTGAATCAGAAAGAGTTTTGAACAAACACCTTGAACTGGCTAAACAAACAAAGGTAAAAGAAAAAGCTTTAATAATGTTAAGTACTTCTAGAAACAAATGCATGTTGCATGTAATTCTAAATAAGGTGAGAGGCTGAGAGTTTGTTATGGATTCCTGGAAAGAAAAATAGAGCTATAGTTTAGTTTAGAAGAAAACCACAGATAACATTACAAGCCACTCCTCCTTATGTCACTGGTTATCCCCCTTATCTCTTGTTACCATGTTATCTGTTACTACCTCAACATCTCAGTATCAACCCTAGATAGGAAGGCTCTTCAAATGTGAATTGCTACTTCTAATTGAGGTGCCAAGTTTAAAAATTATCTAGACAGTCAGAGGCACAGAAAACTCTTCTTGTGGTTTATTATGCCAAATAAAAGGGGTGGATCAACAAAAAAGAAAAAAAGTAGTTCCTAGGTAGAGAAACTTTGAAGGGGGCTGTATAGTTGCCATCAGATACCTATTGGTCATGTTGGGATGCAGCCACGGTGTGAAAGCACTACAGCACTCAGCTCTGTAACACAGATAAGGCTATTTATAAATCACATCCAGGGCCTTTCCAACTCCTGTAGCAGTACTGCAGAATCTGAAAGTGACTTAAAACCAGTTGAAACCCCTCCATGGTCTTGGCACAGGTGCATTTTTCATGGCTAAGCTGAACAACATGGCAGTATGTATTTTAGGAGTATCCTGTGTTTTAGGAGTTCTTAACTCCATTACTCCTGTGGAGTTATTTTTCACTTCAGGCAACAGTTTATGCAACCCAAGACCTGGATCTGTACAGTGTCTGTGGAAATAAAATTCACTTTAAAGAAATTCTGGAGAGCACATAGTAAGAATATAAAAAGTTCCGCGGATAAGAAAGAGCCCCTTTTTGTTCCATGAAACTGTATTAGTTTTCAGTGCCTTTTCTGCCAAATTTTTGCATGCCAGGGTGTTACCTTTGTTTGTTGCAGTGTACAATCTGCCCTGACAATAGTAACCTCTCCTACCTACTTTTTCTGTGGATTGTGTTATGCTATAGCTTGTGCTCTTGGCTGAATGCCAGAAGTAAAGATGCTAAGTGGTATTGAGTTAAATATATAGAAGAAGATAAGCACATAGATATACGAAGTTACGAGCTAAGACAGTGAATTTGAAAACCAGATTACTGTTAATTAAAGGATTTGTATCAGTTCTGGCTATCAGTGGTCCCATATGGAATGCTTCTGTTGTTTTCATCCTTACGCTTACACAGTTACATTTTCATCCACACACTTACAAGTACACATCCTTACTTAGTCTGAATCCTGAGATTCCTTTTTTTTTTCCATTCAGAATTTCTATTTTAATAACTACATCCATAGTTTTTACGAAAGAAATTGTTGTTTTCAGCTCTTCTTCAACAAGTAACTGAATTACAAGTAAGAAAGCAATACTAATGAAAATTAACGATGTGATGCCTATACTCACAAGTCCTTTTCAGTCATTATGTTCTATGCTTGTACCCTCAAAGGAAACTTCACATGAACTGGAAGCAGCTAAGAGAATCATTAAAGATATGGAAGAGTTTGAACCTGAACAGGTGGCAGCTTTTTCTAGCAGAACTGACTTTCTGAATGAAGAACTGAAAAAAATTGAAAAAAATATTAGTTCAAAACTAGAGATTCTAGAAATGTATGTGGCCTTTTTAAAGTCAGCTATGGAGGTACAGATTACTTATTTATTTTCTGACTGGAGTGTGAAATTCTTACAAGTGAAAAATATGCTTTTAACTAAGACAAATCCTGTAGATGCTGCGCCGTGGAAGAACTGCAAGTCTTTGTAAGCTCCTCTCTACTTTATAGGAGATCTGTTCCATCAGGGCAAGCAGCCCTGACCATTGAACTTGCATCATTATAATGACTAGTCTATGTACAGATTTTCTACTGATGTAGATCACCATTGTAGGAAGTGTTATAACTGAATTACTTTTTCTTTTCACATGTTCTCTCTCATATTCACATTAAAAATGCTTATGTGTATGTACTCTGACTCTTAAATTTACTCATTTTGTTTCACATAATTTTAAAAATATTTCACATAATATGTTGATATAGATTTTTATCACAGTCTTGCACCACCTCCACTGAAGTGCCAATTCATTTGAAGGGGTTTAAAAATTAAATATAAACCAGCTCTAGCTGCAATCATAATCAATTCAATGCCAATATACTTTTGGTATCTGTGGTAATGATGGCCAGGACAGTTAACTTTCATTTTGACATAACGCTTGTTTTAAGATTCTACACCACTGTTATTCTTTTGTATTTAGAAAGAAATTGAGGATGGAATGGAACCTATCGGATAAAATTAGCCATAGGTTTTACTTATTTGAACATAAACTGCCAAAAAATTTGATTTCATTGTCTTCCAATTATTGCTGACTTCAACTACTTCATATTAAACAGATCTGCAAAAAATCATTGCATTGATACACTGGTGTACAATATCCATGTAATGATACGTGACAGAAATTGAACAAATGGCTTCAACCTGTCAGCTTGCCATCTGCTTGTTTACAAGTTATTTAAAACTTTTTTATTATTTAATATTCGTATATATTTTAGGGAGGATGATAGATCTTAAAACCTGGAAAAGAGTCAAAGGCTTCTATTCAATTTTAGCATGTCCGTATACCTTCTGATTATAGCAGCTCAATTTTTGATTTATTTTTTGATCCTTACTTTACGTCTTTCTGTAGGTAAATGATGATATCCAAAATCTGAAGGAATTCTATAAATCCGAACCACTACAAAAAAACAGGGAGGCTGAAAATAAAATTCCAATGGAGTCAGCTAATACTCATTGGCAAAAGGCTATAAAAAAGATTTTTTCCACCCAAAGTATGGGTTGCAATTTTCTTAATTTAGTAAATATGGTGAGTATAATCTCATGAACCATATTGAATATTTGGTGTTTGCCCATGATGAGGTCTAATACTAGTTCTGTGGACTGATGGATTGTGATTTCTCCAGTACTTAATTTTAAAGTGACTAGTGCTGCTATATACTTTTAAAATATGAAAGTATTATTTGGGTGCTAATGGCATTATAAGTAATGTAAAAAGTTTTGTGATTAACAATGACAGAGCCCTTAATAAATGATCCAGTACGTGTATACAAACATAATCCATGCACATACCGGTTTTGTTCATGTTGGAAAGCAGATATATACACAAGTAGCGTATTAAGTTTATTTTACTTCCAGTAAGAGGCAATCTTCACTGATTGAGTATGTGAAGTTCTAAAGAAATGGGTGTTAGAGTTACTTCCTTACAGATAATCTTTTCTGTTGTCTTTACATTCTGTTTTGAGTTCATCTGCACTGCCTAGGCATCCCTATCTAATTTTCCAGCACCCCTTAATGAGCTGATCATTTGAGATATGCAACCATTCCCTAAGCCAGTCCTCCGAAAGTGATCCTAGTTAATGTAGACAAACTGGATACACAGCTGTTCCTTCTGTTTTTATAGAACAGACCAGAGAGCAGTTACGTTAGGGTGAGAAGGGGGAGCTGGTGTTGGTAACATACAGCAGCATGCAAGATGAGTTGGAAAAACCTACCTAAGGAGGGAAAGTGCTCAGGCAGTTAGTGTGGGCTAAAGTGTGTGTCTGTCAGCTGGATGCAGTAAGGCACAGATAAGGTAGTCAGTGGAAAGGCAAGCTGAATATGTGTGAATATGAGTCACTTAAGGTCTTAACATATCCTCAGATATTTTCTCTCTAAAGACCTGAAAGTGTGTTGCAACAATATTTTCTGCTACTCTGTTCCCATGACATTTCTAGGTTGTAGATTTTAAATGTCCGAAAGCCAGGGATCATACGAGTAGTTTACAAACACAACTTTTCTTAGAAGAAAAATTCTGAAATGGGAAAAGCAGAAACATTAACCAGTTTTCTGGTGTTTCTGGTATGGGCTTTGTTAAAAGGAGGAAAACCCACTAAATTTTCAAATGCTAAACACTTAATCTTTCCTATGACTTGGTGCTGCTTTGGTTATCAGCACAAAGGACTGGTGTTTTCTTCATCCACTTCACTTTCCAGTTGCTATTTACCAAAAGCCCACTTGAAGGAGTTCTGTCTATTCAGAAATTACTGTATTTTGTATGAGTGTTAAACAGCCATCAGATGGCAATAATTAAGTCATTAGTGACCTGTTCTATGTTTTAAACTTTAATGCTAGCTGTGTCCTTGGTATACAAATTACGTTGATCTACGCCTATTTCTAAAAGAATAGTGTATTTAAAGACACCTAGAGTACCAGAAATTTTCAAAGAAGTTATGCTAAAATTGTTGGGTTCTGTTAAGCTTTGTTGAGACAATATAAGATTGTATTTTATAAAAACTCATGTGAAAGTAAAAGCTGTCTGCTTTCTTGCCAGGTAAATGAGAGTTTAATATTAAAAGTAGAAAAATCTGTACAAATAACCGAAGATATCATTATTAATCTGAGCAAAGAAAAGAAAGACCTGACCGATCTTTGGGTAATCTGGAATTTTAAAATTACTGAAGTAAAACCTGTCAAACAACAGTGCCAGATATTTAAAGAACAACTAAAAACTGTAAGTAAAATAGCTAGGAAAACTGCATCTGTGGCAAACATTTCTAGATTGTTATTTGTCTGTGACTCTCATCAACTATTATATGTATCATTTAAGAAAGGGAGATCATCAGTAAGGTACTTCTCCATAGTCTACTCTGCCATTCAGATAGTCATCAAGAAACATTAAATGTTTTTGATTTTTTTTTGCCTTTATTCAAACATATACAAGTCAAAGTCCCTACTTCAAATTTTAAGTGTTAATCAAGTCCATATACTATACCAGCAGTACTTTATTTTTTTTTTTTTTTAAGAAAAGTACCATTTTTTGTGACTTAATAGCTACTAAACTAAACTATGTCCTAATAGTTACTAAACTCAAGTCCAACCGTGTTCATAAGGAAAGAGGATTGAAACCTCCTTGGCACAGGGAGGGTGTTCAGTGTTCCTTAAAAGCGACACTGTTTAGGTTAGTAGCAGAGACGGAAGTTTGTAGCCGCTGTTTGTGTAATGCAACTTATCACTAAACCATGATATCTGTTATCGCAGAAAAAATACTGTGTGTATGAGTCCTCTGATCTCAGTGTCTGAATTGTTTTTGCACACTGCCTTAAAGATTTCCTATCACCCTTGTCAGTCACAGGGTTTGAGACAGAGGTTTTACTGACAGCATTTGGCTGTCTGGTTTAGGCAAGTTTCCTGTTACAAATTCAGATTTGAGATAAATTTTTGTTTGTTTGTTTAGTTTACTACAGATAGAAACACTGAACTGTTTGATTATTGTTTAGACTACTCATGGATTAAAGATCTTTCAAGAGGCACTCCAGCTGACAGCAACAGTTGACCTTGGAAGTGACCTTTTTATTGTTTTGGAACTACAAAAAAAGCTTAACCAAATGAAACCACAGTATCAGGTGAGAAACCAAGCTAGTGAAAAGTATGGTGGATCAAAAGCTCTTTTTGGTACAGTAAAGATTCACATTCACATTTATCCCAGACAGAGTGTCTGGGGTCGCAGTGTTTTATGTTTTACATTGCTTTTCCAGATGGAAGGGTTTGTGTGTATTTATACGCTAAGGAAGAAGACCTTTTACCTTCAGTGTCCAGAGAATGTCTTGTTCAGTGTTAACTGCATATCAAAGCGGCACAAGAGCTTTGGCGTGGTGGAAGTACAAGGAATGTAATCAGCTTCATGCTTTTGAGTTAGAACTGGTCAGAGGCTGAGGTGTGTCATACTGAGCTTCCTACCTCTGAATATGCTGTCTCTGAGTTTTAGCAATTCAGTCTGCCGTTCTCTTACAAGTTATTTTGACTTGTTTTGATCCAAGATTGTTTCTGGGTGACAGCTGAGACTTATGCCTAGCAAAAAGTAAAGTATATGGAGAGTGTTTTAAAGAGCATGCCACTGATTTTTTTCCCCAAGGTAATTTACCATTGTTAGGTTGTAATTTCGTCAACTGTAAGAGAAAACTTACATATACATTAGTGTAATTTGAGTAACACCTGCTTTTTTGTTAGCAACTGAATGCTGAGTTTGAGTACCTGATAAAATTACTAGAATTGCCAAGCCAGAAAGGATTTCTTGTGAAAGAGAATTCTGAAAGAATAAATGAGCTTACTCATTTCCATCAAACGGTAAAGGACACAATGACAAAATATGATGAGATTTTCAACAAAACAGTCAAATTCCATCACATTAAAAAAGAAGTGAGTATAATCTTTTAAAATATACCTTCTTCCCATTGCAGTTAAATTCTTTTTGGGTTTGGTGCCTGTTATCTTTCTTTTTTCCCCCTGCAAACAAACAGCATTAACCTGCCTGGTGATCAGAATTACAATTTTGGATCTAAAACTGCATGAAATCTGGATAATTTAAAATTCAGATCTGACCCCAAATTTAGTTACTTAAACCCACATCAACAAAGTTTAGCTACCTAATTATGGGTAAGGAAGCAATTGCAAGCTTCTTTTCGTGTTATTTTAAACATACATTGATTTACATTTTAATCTATTCCAGCTGGAATGTCTATCGAAATCAGGAGAACTGGATATTCCTGAAATATGTGAGGACCCTGAAAGTGTGCACTATGCTAAAGCCTGCCTTGTGAATGCTCAGAAGAAACATGCACATATCAGACAGCTATATAAACTGCTTATTACCCAGGGAGTGGATATCTTGTCTGCAGTGCAGCAACCTGTGAGTAGGATTAGAATGATTTGTGAAATCAAGGCTAAATATCAAAGAACATTATTGGAGCTGTCTGACTGACTTTTAGATGTACAAAAATGTAATCATACTCTGAGGAAAAAAAATACAGAGTTTTAAGATCCTTTTAAAAGAAAACAAAACAAAATATAAGAGTTGATCGTTTTTAGATTTCTACTTTTGAAGTTTGCAGATATGCAACCATTAAATTAAATTAAACATCCAGGAATGATAAAACTTCAGTAGTTGCATTACAAACTGCTTTTTCCAAGAAAAAAGAAAAATTAATTTCTTTGAAATCTTGTTTTAATTTCGTAATGGTCTGTGAACAGATTTTACCCTGGAAAACATTGAAATGAGGATGAAATTAATCTTAAAATATCATCGCTTGGAAAAAAAAAAAGCACGACCTTGTTCTCTAGTATTTGTGCAATTCAAGGCCATGTTGGTGATTTCTTGAATGCCACATCTACATGTTAGACTCTGGCTACTTTGTGAAGGTTAATTTGCGTATTTATTCTCCTATAAAGAAAGGATAACAAAAGAACAAAAAGGAAATATAATAACAGTGCTACCTTATTAGGGGATTCAAGACTGAGTTGCACGGCAAAATGGATGTAATTTTAGAAAGGAGTTATTTATTCAGGGCAGGATCATCATTGCTCTGTATTCATTTACTAGGGAGAAAGCAAGACATTCCCTTATGACCTGCCTAGATTATCTGCATTGCCAGTCTGCTCTTCAACTCATTGATAGCAGAAAGGAGCTATTCTCCAGGTGGTAAAGGTCTAGTGTATATCACTTCCACCTTGCTCAGAGAAGACACCATGTGTGAGTTGTGACTTTGACCCAGAACTACTCTTCAGACTTCTAGTGGTCGCAACTGCGATGTACTTGCTCTTGTTACAGTGGAGGTTTAATAGTACCCTAGCCCATTGTCACTGACTGTGCATGTTCTGCCTCAAACTGATTTTCTTTTTAGATTGGTTAAGTCAATACATTTCCTGATTTTTCATAAATTTCTTTATCTATTTCCTCTTTAGAATTGCTTGAATGTTTCTGTAAGGAATCTGAAGCAAGAACTTGCTAGATTTGAGTTTGAGAGTATTAACTGGAGCTCCAAAGCTGATAAGTATGAGGAAGAACTGTCACAGCATTTCCAGCATTGCACCAATCAAGAGGAAGTAAATGAGGTAAATGAGATAAATCCCAACACATTAAATGCCTGTTAAAAGGGCTGTTGTGTTCTGTTACTGTTTACCATTCCCCTAGATGCTTCATAGATATACAGAAAAGTTGATTTCCATCCTACTAGCAACCTTGGATCCATGCAGCAGCAATAATAATTTGCAGTTCAGGATTATACAAAGTTGTTGGGCTAGCAATAAAGTGCTTTCACTGTACAAAGAGGACTGGAAATATATCAGATATATTTTCTTTGGCTTTCAGCTCTATCAGCTTAATCTGGAAAACATGAGTCAGATTTCTTTCTTATGAAGCTAAAGTTTCAAAAGTAGAACTTGCATATATTGCAGTTTTAAGGCCATGAGAAAGAACTTGTCAATCTTTTAATGGAAAGTTCAGAATAATTTAGTATGTAACATTTTTTTTCAGAAACCCAAGATATGATACTTAAAAAACTGTTAGAAGAAAAGGAAATGTTCCTTGCCACAAGATATTAGAATTCAGTATTATGGAACTTGGGTTAAGAAAATTTACTTAGTTAATAAGATCATTAATTTAAGCATCTTAGCAGGTCAAATACAAATCCACTCACAATTTAGCAGGTTGAATTGGATAGATGTCTCAGCAAAAATTAATTTAGGAAAAATACTCCATAAAATTAATTTTCTCATTAAAACAACAGTCTGATGACCTCTACACTTGATGTTCTGTAGATTGCATTTCTGTGTATCCACGAAGTACAGAATCTGGATCCTTACCTGGAAGGATTTCACACTAATGTTTCCTGCACTGTGAAGCATAGATAATGGAAACACACGATGCTGAAAGTTTTATTTTCTTATTTTATCTTTTGCTAAGTAAATCCACACCTGAATAAAGACATACTCTTATTTTCTCAAAATCACCAAAGTAGAGGTGATTTCTGTCCCAATTTTTAACGAGGAAACTATTATTTGAATATTTTTTTTATTTTTTTTTTTTTTTACAAAATGCCTTTCTGTGTTTATGAAAAGTATCCATTTTCACAAAAAGGTATTTTGAAATTGAAAGAATATGTGTATCAAAAAAAAGGTTTTTTTGAATTTCACAGTTCTAGTCCCTTGCCGGTTATATGCTGAGCATGTTTCACTCTGATCTTCTGTGCATCAGTCCTGCGACATAACTTCTTGGCTGATGGTAGGAGGCAATAGGAACAGCAGGTAATATAGGAGAGGCATTCTGGCTGAGGGAACCATGTTGTTGAAGAGATGAAAGCATGAAGTACCTAAACAAGAAACCCATTATGCTTTGTAGTGGCATGGCACAACCAGGATATTTGAGATTTGAACTAAAGTTTTCTAGGTTTTTACTAAAACCCCCTCAAATTTGCTGAAGAAAAGGAAATGTTGGCTGAGCAGCCTGTATGTAAGGCTGGCCATATTCAACATCACACTGTTATATTAAACAAATCTCTCATTTCTGTCCTTTGATTCTGTGATTATATAGTGAGGGCAGTAGAATGTGACTCTTTTCTAAGAATTATTTTTCTATTTTCATCTCTTGTTAGACTTCCAGTGAAAGCAGGAAGTAGAGGGGGAAAAAAGAAATCTGTCTCTCAAATGTAAACAAAAAGTACGTCAGTGACACATGTTACTCACCACATGCTCTGCATTGCAAAATGTAACTTTTTAGCTTCTTATAGTAAATGGACACCCTCTGCAAAATAATTGCATAGAATATTTTCAATTACAGTGTTATTTATTGATATTTTTTTTCCATTTTAAGTTGGGAAAGCCATGTTGGCTGGTTAAGTTAAAACCTGTCATCCCCAAACCTAATTGAATCTTGAATGTAAACTAACTGAAATATCCTAATTTAGCATGTGGGTACCTTTGGATTACTTTTCTATTAGAGATTAACATAGAAGTTATTTCCTAAACAAATACTTGGCTAATGTACCTGTTTATGCATTAATCAAATGCCATTTTTCTTCATTTTTTTCATTAAGTATTTATAACTAATTTTTTTAGTTTAGGAATCAAGAAATCAGACAGTGAACTACTTCAAGAATGTTAAAATTCTGAGTATTCACTTCAGTATTTTAAATTCTGTTAATTTTAACATCAGAAATTACTCCGAGTATTGCTAGTATCTAGCAGACCTGTCTGAAAGAACAATTTCTTTACCATTTACCGTGTCTAAGCAAATATTTTTTTCTTGTGCCAGTAGCAAGCAGCAGGTGTTTATAGTTGTCACACAGTAAATAGCCAACCAGATAATTTGGATGTGATTTACCAATGTACAGAGTAAACTTTAAAGTTGAATGAAAATATTTGGAATTTTGCTGTAAATACTTAATTTACATTTAATGTGGCTAATTTAAGCACGTAAAGCACGTGAGTGAGGGTTTTAGTGATTAGAGCTCACTAGTGTTTGAAAATATCATACTTGGAGGATTTGGCTAGTTCCCTGTGCTTGTAACATATTAGTGTTTCTCACAGAATCAGCAAGAAAACACACACTTAAATTTATAGCCAAAGATACATAACATGAATTTTGAAACAGCCTTGGAGGACAGAAGAATAAAATACACGCTTTTTGCATACCTTCTCTAATTTAAAGAGAATTTGCAAAGGCGAAAGAAGGGATCCATGCCCTCTATATCTTTGAAAGGTATAAGGAAAGCTCATATAATGTTTGAGATCTGTATTTGCCAGTTTGGGCTCCCTGTTTCACTAACTTGGGTAGCAGCATCTGAAGAACCGCAACTCCACTGCATTACACTGCAATTATTTACAATAGAGCTGAGAAAAGCCTCAGTTAACTAGCTTAATACTACAGCAAAACTATTCACTGGATTATGAGTGACACAGTTATTTACATAAGATAACCTTTGCAATGAAAAAGCCTTTTCTTTAGGTGTTTACTTTAAAAATAACATTTATGCATGTCTGCACAAAACTTGCAACAGAAGTAACAGCTCTCCCCTGTCATCTCTTTTCTTTCCTCTTCATCATGTCATTATTTATACACTTACAGAAAGGTATGACTAAAAATGTGGATTTTAACCGTAGAGGGCAGTGAGCTCTCTCTGTTCACAAATCAGTAGGAACTGGTACTTCCTAGCACATTTCTCATTGTGTAATTTATTTTGATGGTGGTGCCAGAATTAAAGTAATTGGTAATGACTTGAACAGCACCATTTCTTTCTTCTCACTTTCTGGCTGGCTGTTCTTTAATCTTTGCCACTTTAATAATCTATTTTCAGCAACCTGCTTTCATAGGATGTTTTTGATTAATCAATGGTAATAAAAATTTTATGTAGGAATAAAAAGGGAAAGGTAAGTGGCTAACAACACTGAAGCACCTGCTGGAGTGGTTCATACAGAAATCAAAGCATTTTACTGGACCTGTACTGTTAATAAAAACATGTTCAAAGCAGCTTTATAACTTGATTTTTCCATTTAGTTTATGGTTGTGTGATAAATCGGAGCAATTGGCACCTAAACCCCTCTCCTCCACTATCATTCTCCACCCATGACAGTCCAACTATAGTTAGGAACAGCTGCCTGATTAATGACTATGACAAAATGGACAAGTTACAAAGTTCCATTAAACTTGTGGGCTGAAGTCACTGAAGTGTATCAGGATGTATATTTCCTTTAGTGTTTCTCACTTAATTTTGCAGAAAATAGCGGGAAAACTGAGATGTGTTTAGATTTCTTAAAAACTGGCAGCTATACATCATCCTTGGTACAACTGCTGATGATAGCAGGAGTTGTGTACATGCACTCTGAGAGGGTGATGTACAAGTCTGAGCTGAATCTGTTTTTTCCACTGAGGCTAAAAGAGTGAGAGCAGCTGCAGACCTTTGACACATGAGCCATCATATCTGAAACAAGGCGATCCAGTTTCACATACTGCTATGAGGAGAGCCTCTGGGCTTATAAACGATCACTAGCTTATGTATGTGCATAAGCCAGTGAAATAAACTAAAATAAACTCCTGCTCATCTCTTCCTCAAAATTAAACCAGTAAATAAGGCTCTTGTGTTCAGTATTCTGAATACAGAATAGTGTTCTGCAGAGGAGGTTTTATTGACAGAGGGCTCTTAGATAGATTTTATTATTCTGTGTACTTAGGTGAGATAAAGAGCTTAAACTAATTGGAGATCACAGTGACAGTGATAGAATTCCCTTCCTTTCCATTACACTGAGTGAGCACCATCTGCTTATTCGCTGCTGAAATCACATGGCAACATCCCACTAGATGAAATGAAAGTGGAAAATATACCCCTTGATGGATTAACATTAGTGTGTGATAATAATAATAACAATAACGATTCGTTGCTAGCTGTTCTAATAACAGTAGCTGCAAAATGAGCATTCATTATTCCATGAATTCTTTGGCAGGGAGAGGGAGGGGGTGAGGGGGAAGTGTGTAGGACTTTTTAATATTGAAAAGCCTCAAATATGTTAACTAAATATTAAACTGTGGATGTGATCTGAACTTGTTAACACTAGTCAAGTAAGTTAAATTCTTGTCTTTTGTGTTTTTAGAGGGACAGACCTAAAGCATTAGAACTGCTGCATTTCTTTTATATCAGTTCCTTTAGATAAATATAATTTTACATAGTTTATTCTACATTTTCCTAAAAGCGAAAGATTGTCAACCTAAAGGATGTGAAATTCTAAAAAAAAAAATTGACTTGTTTTTATGTTCTTCCATTTCAAACTTTATGAATTAATTATAAATAATTTGAAAATGTGACCATAGAATTGCAATGTAATTAAAATAGTACCTTTTATATGGTACCAGAAGCATGTTTTGAGCAGGTTTTTTTTCACTTGTCTGGTTTTTGTATGTGCTGCTTAAAGACATTCAAAAGTAACTGTAAGATCTAAAAAGATTTTTTGCAATTGTAGATAAAATTGAACATTACGTAGCTTTCAGAGAGAAAATACTGAAGAAAAATAAATTTCATACTTAAATTCATAGTCCTTTAAAGATAATTTAGCTGAATATGTTTTATATGCTTATTTATATAACATTGCTAATGCAAAGAATGACATATGAGCACATTTGTGAGAGATCATTAAGAAACAGTTAATCAGCCTTGGGGGAAAAAAAAAGAATATAACAACCCTATATTGTAACTAGTTCCCATGGTAAATAAACACTGATTTTTAAATTGTTTTGATCACAGATGACTCTTCTTTTTGATGTATATTAAATTTATTCTAGTAATCTGGCAATGCATCAGATCTATATGTGTGAAAATGAAAGTGTAGCTTCCTAGAACTTCGTCCGTGTGATTCCTATCATTCTGGATTTTTAAAATATTTCTTAGTTTAAAGAAAATGTAGCTACATTCCATCTGAGTAACAAAAGAGTTTTACAGCAAATTTAATAGTAGTTAGCTGATATAAGTCCATCTGAAAAGTCTTGAAAGGCACGGAGGCTTCATAATCAGAGGTACTAGTTCATCTTAATTTATATTATTATAAGAATTAATTTCCCTAATGTTGAGCTTGCTGCACCAAGTCAGTGCTAACTGATGATAATGCTCTCATTACCAAACCTATCTAGCTGCAGTTAGGCGAGGCTTTCTTTGGGTGTCTGTTAGGCAGAATCCCTCTGGTACCATACTCATAGAATAGTTATTTGAAAGGCAGGTGCTCATATAGTCTACATCTTGATCCTGCAAAGAGCTGGAGTCATCTTTGTATGCTGTGAATTGTACTAGACTTTTGGACTAGCACAGTGCATAAAATTAAGCCCCTATGTAACTTCCTTTCAGGAGCAGGGCTTCTGGAAAAAAACCTACCAAAACCAAAAACACCCCACCCCGCCAAATGAAAAACTCCATAAAAAAACAACCTGACAGAAACTCAATGTTGTATAGTAGCAGAAAAGTACAATGAATAAATACAAATCTACTTGCCCCAGCCCAGTAAAATTATGTTTTTCTGGAAACTAAGCATGGGTCTACATTTACATGGTTACCATTTTCACTAAATGGACTAGAGCATGTGAAAGACAACTGCCTCTTATTAAAATCAATGAAAGCTCTCGCACAGGATTTTTTCATAGATTGTCTGAGCAAGGATCTCAGATTTCGCCCCAGCCGCGCTGGAAACAATACTCAGCAGGCAGAATGCAAAAATGTTGATTTAGCAAGATTATGAGTTTCCACTACTGGAAAGAAATTCTGAGGAAATAAGGACGCTTTATGAGATGGCATTGTATTATTAATTTCTGTATTAAATTTTCGATGTTCAGACCATGGTCTGTTAAACAGCTCTTGAAAAGACCTAAATTGAGGTGTGTTGGTTTCTTTTTTACTAACAAATATGCTTACTCTGTTTCAGCTCAGAGAATCATTTAAGGATCTCAAAAAGAAATTCAACAATTTGAAGTTTAACTATACAAAGAAAACTGAAAAAGCTCGGAATTTGAAAGTACTTAAAATACAGATTCAGCAAGTTTATACACATGTAGAGAAACTACAGGTAATATTAGAAATTTTAGTCTTAGTGAAGACTTCACTGGTTGAATTGCTGTGGCCTATTCCAAGCAGATCAGAGGAGATGCAAAATGTATTGTGAGCTTCCCTGTTACTCAGTTTTATATCCTTCCCCTTGTCTCAGTTGCTGAGACATTGTTCATTATTCTGTTTCTTTTATTCTTCCATTTCCTTCAGTGAAATGATTTTATCTCAATTCCTGACTTCTGTGTTCAATTTTTTTATCCTCAACTATTTTTCTATTTAATCTTTTATTCTTTTTGCCCCTGTTCCTTCACAATATGTGTGACCTTGTCTTCCCTCTCCTTAAAAAAAAAAAAAAAACACAAAAAACAAAAACAAAAACAAACAAACAAAAATAAAAACCAAAAAACCCCAAACCCAAAATGAAACAAGTACCCCATGAAAATCAACAAATCAACAATAAATACACACATACTGACTCCTACATCTGTCTGATTTCTTGTCTTTCTCATTTTATCATGTAAGTCATCAGAAGCTTTCTCTGCATCCATTTCCTGGAGTTGACCATGCTCATTTGCACCTTAGAACACTGCTACCCTCAGCTATTCTTTGCATTCACTAGAAACTCTTCTTCCAAAGCCTCCAATGACCTTTTTAGTTGCCAATCAGAACTAGCACTTTTTGTTTTGCTTGTCCTGCTAGTCTCTTCTTTTACAAATTCACTTGAAATTTTCATTGGCTTCTATGATTTTTTTTTTTGCTATTTCTTTTGTTGTCATTGACTATTCTTTTTACAATCTTTTTTTTTTCCTTTCTTGGCAATTTTATCCACAAATGCAAATTCAAATCACAGAATCATTGAGGTTGGAAGGAATCTCTAGATATCACCTAATTGGAATTCCTTCCTCAGAGCAGGATCAACTACAAAAGTTTGCTGTGTCATGTTCAGTTGGGTTTTGCATATCTCCGGGGATGGAGACTCCAGAATCTCTGTGTGAAAGCTGTTCTACCCTCAGAGTGAAAAAGAAAAAAAAAAAAAAAAAAAAAAAAAAAAATGGAAAAAGGTGGAGTTTTTGTTTGCTTAAACAGAATTTCCTGTATTTCAGTTTAGGTCTGTTGCCTCCTGTCTTTTCACCTGACACCACTGAAATGAGTCTGTCTCTGTTTTCTTTACTCCTTGCCATCATGTTCTTATACACATTGATAAGATCTACCTTGAGCCTTCTCTTCTCCAGGCTAAAAAATCTCAGGTTTTTCTGTCCTTATATAACACATACTCAGTCACTCTGTCATCTTTGTGGCACCTTGCTGGATTTGCTCCAGTTTGTCTAAGTATTTCTTGTATTGGGGAGCCTGAAGTGGACACAGGACTCAAGATGTAGCTTCACTAGTGCTACGTAGAAGGCAATAATCACCTCCTTTGACCCTCTGGCGACACTCTTCCTACCAGTGTATATTCTTCTTACAAGTGTATACGTGGACAGTTCATGAAACACATTCCTATTTTAAACCAACCTCTTTCTTTCCAAACAAAAAATCAGGGACCTGTGATTTTGCACCACTTATAAAACAGCTAGCACAATGAAGTCTTGATCAACTGTCAAGACCAGTGTTCCCAAGATAAAAGATATATAAATGTATATACGTACACTATCTTATCCTGAAACTTACAGGTCATGTTTATACCACACATCATAAAGTACTGCTATGCATACTTGTTCCCCTCGCGGGGAGTCCTTATCGGGGTTATGCCAGATTGTCACTGATGTTGCTTACATCAGATTCTTAAGTAATGTGTTAATATTCTAGGACATAAATGACTCTGTAACTGACTTCTATTTAGTCAAAGACTCCAAAGTCTTAGTAGTATTTTTTCCTTTGTGGATTCAACAGAAGTTATTATGTTCAAGATCCCATGTTTTATACCACAGATATTTGCTTATTTTTAAGATGAAAAATGTAACACAATTCCATCTTTAATAAATATATTTTACATTGATTTTAATCAGGATTGTAGAGGCCCTCCAGTTTGCTTTGATTTTTGAAAAAGGAACTTGTAATTTTTAAAACACAGATCAAGAAACAGTTTGTGTGGCTTTTCTCATGTTTTTTACTTTTTTTTTTTTTTTTCAAGAATGGAAACATTTTTGTTGTGCTATTTAACTTTGCTACATCTTTTAAACAGATTCTTAGAAAGAAGATGGATAATTTAGAGAAGAAAGTCATTGGCTCTGTAGCGAATGAAACTAATGCTAAAGTTAGAGTCCTCTTGGGGTCAATCAGTGACTTAGAAAAACAGCTGAATGACTTTAACAGAGTTGTGGAGGATTACAAGCAAAATCTGGATCTCATGGAGCATCTGCAGCAGATGATGGAAGAGGTACTAGTAAACCTGAGATGACCACTGTAGCTGTAATAATGATCCAAGACTCAGATAGATAAAAGTGCTTATGACTCCTTCAGGAAAAATTTGTGGCTTCCAAAAGCAGTAGATTGGTAAAAATCTGTATTTTCTTCTATTTTTTTTGGTAACTTTTTGGAGAAAGGGGGAAAGAAACATGCAACATGACCATATTCGTTCACTGCTGTGTTCATGACTGAGGTCTCCACCTCCATATGACTTTCACAGTGATTCAGCATATCAATGATCATACTTTTGAGCTCATTTTCTCTAAGTATATTCTGAGGCAACACAGAAAGTTCCACAAGGCTGTCTTTGATAGCTGTCAAACCACAAGAGCCAGGTTATCACAGTGCTCACTTCGCTAAATGTTAGAAAGAGCTGCCTGTGTGGTACGTAACCCTGGAACTGAATGCAAAATATTCAGTTCCTTAAAAGCAGGATATAATTTTTTTTAATGCACCTAATTCTTAACTATATATTTGTTTTTTTTTTTTTTCTGAACAGGAGTCTAAGTCTTTATTTTAATGTGTCTGAGCACTGCCTCATGCATTGCCTTTTTTTAAAAGAAAAAACCAAATCTGTAACAGTATTTTCCTCCTTGCCACATTGTGTTGATGCATCTGCTGTAGGGCAAGCACATTCCTGTCATCATTGTTTATTTTTAGAAATAACACTGTTATATCTCCTAAGTCATCTAAATGCATGACATAAATTCCTTTGGTGATGAATCACAAGACCAAAGTTTTGTTTAAAAGACGTTTTCAGTGTCCAGTGATCTGATAAATGTGTCATTTCATGTATCATTAGCAAAGCACTTTGTTGTGCATTTACATTTTTACACACCGTGCCCCTCACCCTTTACCTTCAGGGAAATAAATTATTTCCTAGACCAAATATTTAAGATTCCTTTTTTTTTTTTTTTTTTTACACAGTGTAAAGTATCATCTTTTACTCATTGGTTTTATTTCAGGGAATAGGCACAGTCTAAAATACTGACTTTAATAGCAGTTTAAAATGGTATTAGCTGCTTGCTGTAATGATGCGATATGGATGGTACTGAGTGAACACCACATTCTATCCTTCTCTGAGTATTGTCAACCAAAAATGTTTATTAAGGACGTGTTCTAAAGCCCTTTCTTGTCAGTAGAAAGTTTCCTAGCAACTTCAATGGTTACTGAGACCAAAACCCCTGTTTGCTAGTAGATTATATCTAAGCAACCTTGGTGCCCTTACAGAGGCATAACTGTGGCCATGATAAAAAGTTTGTGAATTTAGTCAGTTGATACACAAAGTGGAAAGGACTCGGAAGTAAAACATACGTTTGCAGAACCATTAGTAATAGCCTCACTATGCCTGTAAACTGAACATCTAGTGTTTAAAGAAAATTTAACAGCTATTAGTACTTGAAGCAGCATTGGTAATTACCAAATGTTTTTCGGATTAAATTAAAATCAGAAAAGTTAATACATACTCTATGCTTCTGATTATGGAAAGTCTAAGAATAGTCCAGTCTATTCTGCAAAGGCTTGAACTGCTGATAATAATTCATTATAATGCAGTGTTTTTATTCCTCAGTGTCAATTTTGGTTTGAAGACATGAGTGCAACAGTTATTAGAGTTGGCAAGTATTCTGCAGAATGCAAAACGAGAGAAGCAATAGAGAGTCTCTACCAGCAATTCAACAAGTTTATTGAGCCTACAATGCCTCAACAAGAAGAAAAAATTCAACAGATTATAGACCTCGCTAAATGGTTATATGGTGAGGAGCTGTCTGATAATATACTGTGGGGAGGAAAAAATAGCTTGGGACAGGAGGAGGAAGATTCCTGGTTTTGTTTATTTAAGAAGATAATCCCATGTTTGTTTTTTGTTTTTTTTTTAAAGTGGTTTTAAAGTATTGACTGGAAGAGGTGAAGGATTTCAGAACAAATATTTAAAAAGTAAAAATATGAAAGTACTCAACTGTCTGGTAGTTACTCGGTTTTCTGCATACAGTCTGAGTTCACCTTGAAAGCAAAGTGCGAACGTCCTTGTAGTATTTATGAGTTTGGGATTAAGACTTCATGGTTTATGCTATCTCATAACAGGCGATCCTTTGAAGTCAAAGTATATTACAGTGATATACCTCAGTGCTGAGTGAATTTTTTACAGTAGCACTGTGAATAACTAGTGGCATTTTATTGTCAACTTTAAGTATTTTATTAGCAAAAACCATAGATTTTTACGTAAATACTGTATTTGCAATTGTATTGATTTGGAACCTTGTTGACCAAAGAGAATGAAGGTCAACAAACTTCAGGTTTTGCTTTTTCTTCTTCCACTTGTAATATTTATATATATTTGTTGAAGTTACTTTATCCAAAGCTAAGGTGACCATCCTAATGTGCAAGGATACTGTGTAGCTTACCAATACAAACAGTAAATCTGAAAAAACTTCTGCAGAATCAAACTGAGTTTTTAAATTCCTGTAATTTGGTGTTGAAAAGACTAGAGAGAACAGATATTTTTTTTTATTTTATTTTTTACATCTCGATATTTTAAATATTCCTATCTGTAGGAAAGTTGCTGACAGAATGGATTCTTGAGACCAGCTGGTTAGGAACACTGGAGAAAGAAGCTGCTTTGTGTTTTTTAAGTCATTACACAAGGAAAAAGCTTCTCCATCCTGCCTTTGTTTCGTATTTCTTACAACAGAAATATAAATGCCCCCTAGCTCTACAATAAGGCAATTAGTTTAGGAGACACTTTACAAGGTCAGCATCTTTTGAATCAGTATCGCTAACCAGATAGAAGTAATTTTGTTCAAGGATAAGCCTAGCAGAAGACCTGCAGCAACTATGAGGGCCTATCTAAAGTAAGGTAGTAAGAGGTAGGAAAGTATATTGCTGCGAATCACAGAACTCCTTCAGCAAAACAAAACAGAAAATGTAATTATTGTTGTATATTTGGCTTAGAAAGTACATTGATTGTTACACATCTGTTTGAGGTATTCTGTTTTACTTTCATGTTTTTTTACCTTTGTAGGTATTGAAGAAGGAAAGAAGTATGTTGAAAAAGCCATATTAAAGTACAAAGAAATCATTAATTCTGTTGACAAGTTGTGTAGATCTCTGAGAGAACTGAAGGAGATTAAGGTGTTTATTTTCTTTTTAATCTGGAGAATGTATTGCACCTGCATTAACTAATCAGGCCTAGTGTCTGAATCAGTACTTTTAATAGGATCATCTATGGTAGTATGAAGCATTTCTTAATTGTTCACTTTTCCATTACCTTAGGTAATAATTGTAATGAATCAATGAAGTGCTACTTGTTTGTGCACTAAATAGTCCTCGTAGGGTTTTCTTCTCAACTTCTTTCAGAACTGTTACTGCTTTCAAGTAACCTTTAGGGGAAAATGTAACAATTTCTTTGAGTATCTAGAAAAAAATTTTTTTTTTTTTTGTATTTCTTCTTCCCTTTGTACAGCAATATAGGTAACTGCAAGATCTATAAAATGCCAAATGACCTAGCTTGGCTTCCTATTGGAAGAATCACCCCAAAAACCAAGCTGTATTAAAATCAAAGTAATTTAAATTAGAAAAGCATGGCTTATAGCATAAATGTTAGAGAGCAACATTTTTAGTTTCATATTCTGATAAGCTTCTTTAAGTGTGATTAAGTATAATGTATCAACTAGGGAGGAATTATGGAAGACAGCTGAGAGGGCTAGATTACTGTAATAAAGACTCCATCTCCTCCACACCCCAGTCTCAAAGTAATATATGAAAAATCTCCCACATGCAGCAATAGCTGTTGGGCTTATTATTCTGTGAAGCTGGAACGGTTAAGATGCTTAAATATCCTACTGTTGCTGATGCTGAATGTTGTTTCACTTTTCTTTGATGGCATTATACTATAAAAACTGATGAATGCTCAAATTATCCATTAATACACTTAAAAGCAGTGAGAGAGGCCAAAAATACAAATGAGTTCAAAAGTTAGATCAATGGAAAGAAGGCTTTGCCTTGCTCTGTGACCACAAAGAAATTTCGATGTAAATGCCAATTAGGTTTTTCCAAGTTGTTCTCCCAATCCATATGTTACACAAATGCTGTTGTGTGCAGGACAGCAGCCCTAGGTCTGTAAGAACAGGGCTTGAACCTTTGCTTGATGTTGCTAGCTCAGCATAATATGGAACTATATATAAATAATTTTGCTAATTGTAAAGTTATCTTTCTTTAACAGAGTTGTTTGGAGAACACTTTTTTCACACAGGAACCACTCATAAAGTATTTATTATTTACTTTAAACTTTAATTTAGATAATTCTTTAAAAAAAGTTGATCAAAAGGAGTATTATGCAAAATTAATTTTCTGCAATAGAGAGTAGTTCTGCAACTTTTTTCAAATGAAAGTTGTTATTTTTTTATTATATGTAGTACTCTGAGATTTTAAAACTAGTATTCTTATTGAACATTTCCAGAATATCTCAATAGTTGTTGTCTGTATCTTATGAAGAATAAATAATTTGGCAAATTATCTACACAAACAGATGCCATGAGTATGGAAAGCTATGACTATGAATTCAGTTTCACTTCCTGTCATTTTTAAAGCATAACAAGTTAAGCAGAAATATTGGATTGCACAATCTTTCCTGATTTTACATAGCTGTTGAATGTCAGAATAAAACAACTCTTGGACTTTTCAAGTACAAAATTAAAGACTACTTTTTCTTCAGAAAAAAAAAAAATAGATTGAACAGATTACGTAGAATTTTTCACTTGTTCAATGCTAGAATGGAAAAATCATAACGCAGCATTTTCTTGTAAGAATTTATTTAGGACTGTAACTTTTGGCTGGACAGCTAAAGATGTAAAATACACAAAACTGTAACTATAAAACTTTTGGTTTTCCTTATGTTGTGCCACTGTGATGTTCTTTGAAATCTGTAGATTTCTTCTATGACAACTTTAAAAGATTCATGACATCTTCGTAAAATACAGTATGATTGTCCAGATTTCTGTTATGTAAGTACTTTATAACCAGTTGTGTAGCCTTTGAGGCTTAAGCTAGAGATAATTATTAACCAAAAAGAATAGTAAAGTAGCTGATCTAAAGTACAGTTAATTACATTCAGAGTAGTTATGGACTGTCCAGGTGGGAAGTCAGAGGAGAGAGGAAAACAAGAACAAATGCAAATTCTGCCTGGTTGTATTTTATGCTTAGAACACATTCTATCCTTTCCACTTTTTAGACAAATCTGAACATTCTAGAGACTCACAAATCTTTCTTTCCTCCCTAGAACTGTTTTCCTGAAAACCTGGGTTTTTTTCTGTCTTTGTTGTTTATCCTTTTTTTTTTTTTTCTTCTAATAGTGTCACTTCATTAATCCTTTATTTTCCCTCACTTGTGCTGGATACAAATTGGTTAATATTCCTCAGATTCTTGACCAATCACTCGAGTTCTTCAGTCTTTGTCGTCCTGTACTTTCCCTGCCTCATAAAAGATCCCATCAACTTTGAAAAATATTTGTCCTTACTTTTCTAGGTATGAATGAATCGGGTTTTGCTGCATATTTTTGCCATAAGCAATTTACATCTGTGCTGACGACAGATTTTAAATAAGATTTCACCTATTTTTGTTGTACTCTGTTGTACAGAGCATAAGTTTATGTGTAGCTATTCTATTGTGTATAAGCTTACTTAATTTTCTTTTGACATGGCAGAAAGATGAGTTTTCTGAAGAGTTGGTTACTGTTCAAAAAGAAGAAAGAAATGGTCAAGAAGCGTGTGAGGCTGTTATTAAAGACAAAGTAGAGGAACAAAAGCAGCAGGTTAGATTTTTTTTTTTTAATAATCTCTTTTTTCACTGGAAGTCTCTTTCTTAAAAGGCTTTGTGTATTTCTGGGAAGTTTCTTGCTTTTCAGTATTGAAGCCTCACTTAATATGGGTGTTACCAGTGTAGACTTGGTCATTTTCAATTTTTTTTTTTAATTACCCCTTTGCCTTCTATCCAATTCACATATCTTCCTTATGAATTTTATTTTTTTTAGCATTCTTTTTACTTGTCTGTGTATCTCTCTCTTTTTGAAAATAATATTGTTTTCATAACCCTTTACCAACTTTCCTTTGGTCCTATTTCCATAGTATTCTTTATGCAGGCATCTTTTTTGTGACCATTCCTCCTTCCTCAAGGCAGAACACATTCTGCTTTCTCCTTTATAATAAGACTTAAGGGAATATAGAAAGTAATAGAGGAGACTGTTGTTAATATTTCTCAGAGCCCTAATATTCATATAACCCCTAGAGACAAGCTATGAAAATACTTGATTTGTAAGTAATATGCTGTGAGAGAGAAGCCTCGTAACTCAGAATTTGAACTAAGTAACAGTGGAAATTATGGTTCTTTGTTGAATCATTAAGGTCTTCATCAAGAAAAAAAAAGAGGTTTTTAAACATTTGTCTTTCAGATGACATCAGGTAAATTGCTTACAAATTCAGAAAACATTACTGAGAAGAGAAACAATACTCTGTCTCCTACCAACACTAAACAGGTATCTGCTGTTCATGCTGTTTTTTGGTTTTTTTTTTTAAATCAAATTGATGGGCATTGTTGTGTACTCTCAAAGGAATTTTACTCCTTAATTGGTTGCTTCTCAAAAGTGATGGATATTGTTATAGATTGGTTGGCTTTGATTGCCTTCTCATTTACAAAAATCCAATGCAAAACAAGCACAGAATTGCTTCAGTTTTGCAACGCTGCGAATAACAGGAAAGCAGTCATGACAAAACCGTGATGGAACACAACTACAGCTGTCAACAGTTCAGTATGACATCATGTCATGAATAATCTGTCCTCTCGGTATGACACTATACATCAAATAAATAACAGAATTCATCATCAAATAGTCATGTTCACCGTCACTTCAAAACACTTAAGTTACATTTCAGTTGCCAAAATTCTGTGAAGCAGAGATCATGCATAAGTTCCAAAGTATGGATTGCACATTAAGGACAATGCATAAAAGGAAATTAGATAGTGAAAGACTGGGTATGCGTTTACATTGACAAAAATTCTAGCAGACAAGCATGTTTTATTCATGTATGTACAGTAGATGAATATGAAAGGTTCCAAATTGTCAATGAATAAACATAGTCTTAGAAATACAGGCAATACAAAACCAGACCTATGTTTTATGAGATTATTTCCTTTAGCTTAAAGAATATTGTGAAGCCTTGGGATCCTGGATGTAAATGTAAATAATTCACTGTGTGAAATATTCTGTTAAATTGGAGTGGATTGTAATATATATGAGTCTTTAGAAAGGTACATTGATAATTGATTTAGAGCTCTTAAATTTCCATTTTGCAAGCTGGTAACATAGACCAATACTACAAGACATTAGATTGAGATGTTTTGTATAAATTCAACTACTATTAATATTCCCTTCAGTTCAATACAGAATGTCCTGTAATCTGCTGATGAGCCAAAATTGAGCCCAGATTTCACTCAAAATTTTGTGACTGTTCAAAAGTGCTAACCTCAGGAGAATCACCTCACCCAGCAGATGTCCATAGGCCTATTTTCTGTTTTGTTAGACCACAGCTTTGTCAGTCCTCATTAGACTGTGCCTCCGCTGCCAAGGGGAGAACTCAAGGGTATGCGAAACAGCAAATATCAGATGTGAAGTATGGCAAATATGATGCCTCCCCCCTTTTCATCACTCCATACTTCACTTAAAGAAGTAGCAGGTTCCTCTCAGTAGAGCTTTTCTGTCTTCCATTTCCATCCTTTCTGAGGGAGGACCAGCCCCTTTTCTAGTGGGTCAGAGATCTCTAATTTTGTCTATGCTTCTGCAAGCTAGTTTTGCAGCATGAATTTTCTTCAGTAATAAATATCACCCTCTATAAACTGGCCTAGACCTTCTCATGGCACATTAATCCTCATGCTTGTTTGATCGCAAGTGGCACACCATGGCTGAAAGTCCTCGTGCTGCCAAAGCCTGTGTGACAACTTACTCACTGCCCACCTGCTGTTTTCCCCAGCATTTTCCACAGGGTCATTTTCCAGCAACCTCTGAAATAACTCTGTTCAATTCTGTGATCTCCAGATGAGATGACCATGAAACTGATAGCACATCCCTGCACTAAGATCCTAGATTAGCCACTGGAAGATTCCTACATTGTTGTGACCTTCCTCTACTTACCCAAATGTATGCCGCTCTGCGTACCTGTGCGTAAACTCCTCAATAGAATGAATCTGGACCATTGATTTCATTCAGACAGTAGAGACTGTCTCCTCAGAAATTTGACTTAAGTTTTTTAAATATACCTGCTCAGAATTTAACATTCTAAAGAACTTTTCAACTTCTTAATGTTTAATCAAATTTGGTTTATTAAATTTGTTAGTGCATGCCAGACCAAAACAGCCATTATTTGCTACTGAAGTGCCTGTTGAAGCTAGATTTAAGAAAGACTTGCAAATTTGGTCAGGCTTAACACTGAGTTACTTGGAACCACACTGATAAGGTTAAAAGAGCTGGGTGACAGTCAAATTTTGCAAACCCTAGAAAAATATATTGTATGAGTGTATTGGAACTAATTCCTAAAAATAACAATTTTTTTAGGGATAGTTTACAATTAATTAGAACCCAATAAAAAAAAAATTAAGTGCAGAAGGAAGAAGTCACTCAGCATTTATTATTTTCTGAGTAATTGGAAAGGGGCAAAATTGACACGGTTCACTAAATTGGAAGGTGAATTATAATTTACCATGTTTATATCCATGACATATTCATACTGAAAGACACTTTGAGGGTCAGAGTTCATCAAGCAATTAATACCCAAATTTGAACTTTGTCTTACAACTGAACTGAACGATTTAGTAAAATAGACACAGTAAAATCCCAACTTCCTTCCAGTCATTCATTCATGAATCACATGGCTTTGAAATAACAAATGTATTAACCTGGAAAAACATCTATATTAAAACTACCATATCTACAGAATCAGGGCACATGTGAATTTGTATTCCTTGTTTATACTTCTATTTTGTTAATTTTGTGCAATGATTATTGTGTTATATTTAAAGCAATAAAGCAAAAAGAAAGCCAAAAAGAATGTGCTGCTGCACTTTTGTACTGGATACTACCAGAGAGATCTGATTTGGAAAGCAACGGCACTCAGTGTATCACCCAATTGATTTGAGTGAACAGTTTATAGATGATAGAAAAGTTGCTCAGTAGATTACACATTTTTCTATAGAACTCAACAATGAAAGAATAGCATAAGAAAACATTATGAATGCCACTGCTGGAAGCCCTGGTAGAAATGAAATAAGCCTGAATATGTGATTACACGTTTATATAAAAATCAAGAGGCAGAGAAGTAATTAACAAATCAGATAGTGTCTTTGACGCTTTCCAATTAAAATTAATGCACTCGTGCCACATTCAGTTCTTTTTGAAACATGATGAGAGGGGTTTTTTCTTATTCTGGATCCAAGATAATATAAAAATAATTCTAACATTTTTTCTGTTAATGTTTGGGCAAGATCTTGAAACAGCTGGCAAAAAAAGGAGGGAAACACAAAAATGCTTGGAAAATGTATCAAAGATGTTGATTTAATTCTGTAACTCTTTCTCAACAAATCAAAGTCCAGTAACTTGGCTGTTAACATATTTTTATTTCTATGTAACTGATTCTCATTTAGATGTAATTAGGCCACCTCCTCCTGCAAATTCCCCTTGCAAATAGTCTTATAAACAGCACCAACAGGAAATCCACAGGTTATTCTTTGTTTATAGAAAGAGGTACTTTTTCTTTCATTGTTACTGTTACAATAAATGTCCGGATATAAATACTATAATATCTGCTAGAATGTACCCAAAGAGTTTGAAATGGCAGTTAGCTGCTGCAAAATTTTCTGATGAATTACCCTGCTTCCCAGAATACATTAAGCTTAATTAGAAGTATTTTAAATATTGTTGCTAGCATGAAAAGGGGATGTATAGAATAACTCCTTCTCCCTCTGTTTTTCTTCTTCTTTCCCTTCTTTTCTTTCCTGTCTTTTCTTTCCCATCCTAACTTAAGGAGAGGAATAAATTGGCTGATATTCCAATCATCTGTCCAGCTGGTGAGGATCTTGTTTCACAGGATACAGAGCTGTCATCTTCAGCCAAAGAGGATAGTTTACAGGCTGAATTCCTGGCAGAAGAAATGCCCTCTGGAGATGAATATGAGTGTATATCACCTGATGATATCTCTTTGCCACCGCTTTCTGAGACACCAGAATCCAACCTCTTGCATTCTGAAGCAGAGCTAGAAGAGCAGTGCTGTTGTAGTTCTCATAGCCTGCATGTCAGTTCCTATAGCTTGCAAATGCAGAAAACCACTAGTAATAAAAAAGTGATGGAAGCATCTGATCTTTTAACAAACTCTGCTTACGCTGATGCTACAAACAATAGAATGAAAAGCCCATCAGATCAGTTTGAGAAGTTTTGTATCTCTTCAACAGATTCTGGTCCAAAAGTCAGAGCAGTATCTCCTTTGACTTGTAGCTTACAAGGAATATCCGAAGCTAGCACTGCATCCTGCACTATAAATGCCAAACCAGTATATAGCATGACGAGTGAAGTGTGCAAAACACATTTGCAACACCTTGAACTTCATAAAAACATGGCAGAAACACAAGAACAATTGCATGACTTGAATAACTGTACTAAAACCCAGGACAGGCTGCATGCTTTGCCTGATACATTCTCAGGTTTTGTGTTTCAATCAGACACCACCAGAAGCTGTCAGAGGCAGATGGTCACCCGAGAAGAGATTAAAAGTTCATCAGAAAGGAACAGCATGGCCAGCCTAACTGGACAGGCGCCTAACTTCTCCCAGCTTCTGTCTAACAAAACGGTCATGGAAGGTTCTCCAGTAACTTTGGAAGTAGAAGTAACAGGATTCCCAGAGCCTACACTGACATGGTGGGTAGCTTATAATGAGAAGTAGTAAATAAATATCTGTAGCAAGATTCTTATAACCAAATTAATTATAGACCAGAATAAATGGCTTGTATCCTCTCTACTGCACACTTCTGCATGATTCCCACCTTCAAAATTGCTTTTGACAATTAACCTACTTGAAATAATCTATCTGTACTTAATTTTACGAATAAGGAGAGCATCAAACTACTGCAAGCATACCCTGTGTTTTTTAAGCAGACACGTCTCATAGTTCTTATATTCTGGAATATGATATTCCACTTATTCAGTATTTTCTTGAAAAAAATGTACACTCCAGATTTACCATAAGTAAATTCACCTGCATTTTCTCAGGTTCTTGGCCTGATGACATATGGATGGACAGAGACATACACACGCATGCATGCTAAAATATTTATATAGCCACTGCATAAAAATAGACATACATTTATATATATATGAGAGTCAGTTGTCGAAAACTAGAGAGAGGTTACAGGTTAAAAAAATCCACCTAAATGTCTACACTAAGAGAATCAGTTTTACATTATATATTTGTGTGCACTCTCTATCTCTCTGAATTGCTGTATGTCTAATTAGATTGCTTTATACAGCGCTTGTGAGAAATACAGATGATGCAACATAAACATCTTCTAAGATGACTTTTTAGAAATTCTCTGCTAAAGGGAATAGGGACTGAAAGGGGCAGGATTTCAAGACTTTGGTTGTAGTCCTCTATGTGTTGGCATATTTTCCTCAAGTTTTACCTCACTTGCCATTTCTCCACTTACTGCATTAGGCTCTCACAATGGAGGCCTTTCTTTTAACGTATTAAAATTAGATATGCCTCTTACTGGAAACGTATTGATGTTAAGATTATTATTACACATGTAAAGAAATAAGCAAACTGTAAGCTTCTAGTAAGCTGAATTTTCTTCTATGGCACTGAAAAAATTACTGGACACTGCAAACTTAGTGCTATACTGTGTTGGTATCAATAAAGTTACTTTGTTTTAAATCCTAGTATTCTACACTTTGAGATGTATTCTTGGTGAAACAAGAGGTACCTTCTGTTCTGTTTTATCGCAAGAAAGCATTAATTTTAGCTCAAAAATATATACACTGTTGATATATGGTCTTTTTAAAAAAATAACATTGAACTGAAAGCATTTTGCAAATTAGAAATTTATGAAAACAGAAAAAAATGTGGGGTTTTTATTAAGTTAAAAATTCACCTATACTATATATTTTGTGCTGATACAGACATTTTATTGGATATACATGTGGAAAAGCATTTCTGTGTTCATGTTAAGTTAAATGTAACTTATGCTGAAATATCACGAGGCAAGAGCCAGAATTTTCCCTCACTTCCAACAAGTAAATCAGGAGTCTATACCAATACATGGTGACAGATCCTCAAGTGTTAGAATATGACATATTGTTCAACCCTGCTTGATGATGTGAACTTAGTAAATGTTAAGTGGGCTGGGATGGAGGAACAGGTCCTTGACTGTTCTTTATACTGAAGACACAAGTTCACAAACTTTGTATGTTGCTTATGCATCTTGAGAGCCTATTCGTGAGTTGACTGTGGATTGACTTAACACCTTACCAGCAAAAATATTTCAGGACAGAACTGAGGGCCCAGGCCTTCATGCTACTCTCTCCAATAGTACACGAAGATAACTGTGACTTGTCCATTGAAAACCATTTTCAGAACCACATTTTCTAGCATTAAGAATGTGTTCTCCAGCAATTTGAATTTTTCAACTATTCATCCATATTTGCATATAACTTTAAAACTGATCAACGAGAGCACAGTAGTGAGCACTAACTCTTGCTGTCAATGTGGTGTTATATAGGATGACTGAATTTGCAAAGTTCTGCTTGGCATACAGTGATATAAATCTGACTTGAAAATTGACTCTCTGCTTCAGGTACAAGAAGGGAGAGAAACTGACTGCAGATGAGCACTTAAAGCTTTTACAAAAGGAGACAAAGCATACTTTGTTCATTCAGAAGGTGTGTGATAAAGATGCTGGCCTCTATGTTGTTCGGGCTAAAAATTTGAACGGCACTATATCATCAAGTGCTATTCTCCACGTGAAAGGTAACAGGCCACCTATTGCAAGAATAGACTGGATAATGCTGTGTGTCATCTATATTAGCGTATCACTAATGTACTGGCTATTCACTAAATATGTACAATATTGACTGCAACGGACTTAATTCTCACATGCTAAGACAACATTAAATTTATTTTCTTACACTGCATCTTTCACAGTCTGTACCAAACCACTTTTATGCCATACTCGATATATTGCTTGTTTCTTTAATACCAGTATTGCGTGCTTATTTTCCTTTCTCGTAGTGATGTTGAGACAAAAATGTTACAAAGATTTTTCTAGGATCTGAGGCATAGTTTTGCTTTCTAAAAATGTTGGCATTACAAAGTGTTGGAAAAAGTTTTGAAGGTTATAGGTGTTAAATGTCAAAATACACCCAGGTACAGTGCTCAGATCAATGTATATTTTATGATACACTTTTTTGGGGGAGTGGGTGTGGAGGGAGTTGTTTTTAAACATTGAATATATTCTTTTCAAACAGTGTTTTTATATACTTTTTAAAAAATTTTATTTGTAGGATAAAACTTCTTGATAAAGAAATCATAACATTCATAATTGCACTGTCATAGATTAGATCTGTTTCAGCCCAGTAGGCAGCTGCAGTAGTTTCAGTAGAGTTGTGATTGCACTACAAAAATTTGACCCAGAATCATCAGGATTTGTGTAAGTGGCACTTAGCATACAGTAATCAAAAACCCCAAAGGTTTACAAAATGAGACGTTGCAACATGCCAGTTTGCTTAGGTAGATGCTTATGATACTTCCTGTCTTCTTATAAAATTAAAAATAGAAATATTTCTGATAATCCATGAAATTGTTACTATAAGACAAGAAAGATAATAGTTTATGAAGTGAGCATTTGTGCATGTTTAAAAATAACACATTGATTTCCAACAGAATCAACCAAATTGAGGAAATACTCAAAAATGTATTCACACCAAAAAAGAAATTTATTTCAGTCAAATAGAACTCTCCCACAACTTGAAAGTGGTAAATCGAATCCAGAACTTTGTTCACCTACATATGACGTTTCATTCTTGAGAAGGACAACCACAAATATTATTTTTTTGTTAAAGTAGTAATAATTTGTTTAAATACTTGATAACAATGATATGCCAGTAGAAGATTTCATTTATAAATCCTCCAGTGTAACCTCGTCCTTTAGCTGCAGTATTTGTTGTATTCGTACAGTAAAAACAATTGACGAACAGCTACGTGATTTTTTTTCCTGCATCTTTGATTTGCAGCTTTGATTACAACTGCATTGTATGGAAAATTTATAGAGAGGAAATATTTACTTTCTCTTGAATAGTTTGCCAAAATGAAGTAAGTCTCTTACTGTGTAGCATGTTATGAGCAGAATATAGATTGCAAGTATCTGGCGGGTCAGTGAGCTTAAAGCCTGATGTTTTGATATTTTGGCCCAGTGACTGCACCTTTATTAAAATTCCTGTACTTTGAAACAGGAGAAGTTCTCAAAGGAATATGACCTTACAGCAATATGAGAGGGAGCAGGAGGAGGAGGTGGTAAGCAGATGAGAGAACAAAGTCAATTCTAACTAAAATTGGTATTACCCTTAATGAACAATTTCTAATTTCAATCATCTCCTGAAAAATGTTGATTCATAATAATTCTCTCAGGTATAGAAATCACTTATTTTCCTAAAGTGTATTTTCCAGTTCATGATCAAACTAGTTTCTATAATTAGTATGATTTTGAATGTTTCAATTTTCATAAAAGGAAAATTCAGTTTAGTGGTTTTGTGCCCTTGTGAATTTATGTATAGTTGTTATAAACATACAGCAAAGAATCTATGGGAGCAAGCTGAGCTGCATAAGTGGTACATTAAGCAATGTTGTGGTAAGAACAAACCAAAATGCCTCTCCTACATGCTGTAAGGTTTTGCCTGCTGCAGAGCTGCCAGTGCTTGATAACTTTATTCAGTTCATGCACATTCTCTATTTGAAAACGGGTCTTCTAGGTGATGGCTGCCCTTCAATCCTCTGTTTTTACTGAGAGTTGCCATCATTCAAAATTTAAAAGTAATCATGGATGTTCTTTTGACATGTTCTAAGTAACTTCATATAATACTTGGGTGACTTTTTCCCGCATTTTTACCTTCAGTATTGAGGCTGAGTATATGCACACATAAAAACCAGGAGTGAAAGCAGAGATATTCTCTTTCCTCTTCGGCCTTGCCTCTGCCAGAATTAGCCCTTTGAATTAAGCATTAGCTGCTGTAAGGCCTGTGACAGAAAGAGTCATTGTAGCTCTACAGATGCTGGCCTCAAAGCTCCATCTACATTTTAACTTCATCTTGAAAACTATGGAAAGTTCAGTACTAGAATGATCATTGTTCTGTCTCTTTTATACGGCCAGTGTGTGAGTTCAGAGATATGCATTTGACTCCTTTGGGTGGAGGAGAGCCATTTGTTGAGCTAAACAACTCTGCAAGGTGAGTCTCTGTCCTTCAGAAAGCAAGGCTAGAGCTAGAATTCCAGCCCTGCTTGGAAAAATTTGTCCCAAATTCACTTGTAGTTCTACGAAAGCAGGAGACAAAAATGTGAAGTTTTCATCATGTCATAGAGCAGGAATCGGATATAGCTTGGATCTAGACTTGTAGCTGGATCTGATTGCTTGCTGGCACTTACAGAAAGACTTCTCACTAGTTACGATAATCAGCTCTATGAGTTAAAAAGGCATCGGACACAGAACTACTGGAGGAGTGTACATAGATTATGGGAGCAAATTCTTTTCCCTCCCTCGTAACACTTCCTGACGTACATCCAGGCTCCTAGGGTATTACAACGGAGCAGACATGCAGACCTTTTCCCTCATACACATTTGCAGTAAATCTTCATTAAATCTTCTTAAATGTTAACTTCATCTAACAGGATTTAGAATAAGTGGAGAAGACCTCAGTTACTTGCTTTACCTGAGATTTGACAGCCAGTTTACAAAAGGTCAGTTTACAACACCAGTTTACAAAATTGTGTGAGAGTAAGAGATGCAGCTTTGATTCCAAGTGGGGTTTATTCCAACTTCTTATTAACATTATTTAGAAGCTAGCCAGTGATGTAGCCTTTTATTGGAGTTTGGTTTACACCCTCAGTTCCAAGCATAACAAGGACTGTCATCTTTTCTCTAAGAGGGGAGGAGTTAAAGAGAAGTTTCAGAGAGAGAATTTTATTCCAACATTTACAAATATGTGCTGTGTATATCTATGAATAAACACATTCTGCCTTTAGTAAAATTCTGAGTATGTATTATGCTGCAAATGTCTCATCAAGTATACTTATATTTTGCTTATACTTATATTATACTTAAAATGTCACGGTCCACTCAGTGGACTCGTGATGCCCCCTTAGCAGAAAAACATTTTAGATCAATACAATGCTTATCCATTTTTGTCTTTTTTCATCATATTTTGAAAGTACTATTCGTAGTTCATGTACTCAATAAGATATAAAAATAGTTTATCTTAATGGACTTTTTAAGGCATTGCTATTTGAGACTTGATTTGGGATTATATGCCCCAGGAGGGCTTTCCAGATGAGGAAACTGTGTGGAAATGATGCCTCTGTAACTGTTCACTGCTATGATGTAGTGTTAAAACAGCAGCCGTGCTCAATTTTATTGGCTGGAGAAGGTCATTTTCAAGTGACTTCTATCTGGAAAGTCACTAAAGGAAACCTGAGTTCTGCCCACAAAACTACAAAAGACTGGTAGTGAAATGCCACACTTGGTGAGCTTAGCATTAATTTTCCAGCTTGAACCATAAATGCCTGTTGTAACGGACGAATTAGGTAGCCCAGATTTCAACAGAGCCTCACAGAAAAAAGATGTCAAGTGTGATCTTGTCTCCAACCATGCCAAGACAAAATATAATTATTCCACTGGGAAAGGGTAGATTAATGCAGAGTTCTTTGCACACCCTGATTAAAATTATATGGGTTTAAAGTTTATATGGAAGATCACGATAGATTCCCTGTCACCTAGGGAAACCAGCTGCCTTTATAAGGAAAGTGCACCTCAGTTTTACTATTCACTTCAAAAGCAGCTGAAGTGGCTTATGATCTGCCAAAACATCCACTTTCATTTTTACTCAAAGTAAGCTTCCTACTACTGGATTAAATCCTGGAATTGACTTCCTATTCAAATGTTAAACAAGATCTTTCCAGTTTGACTGGTGAAAAGAAGGTGAGATGCAAACGAATCCAACTTTTAAAATCTAAGTACATTATTTTCAAGAGTACGCACAAGTATGACATTCATGTTATTGCTATATAACAGACACTGTGAAATAATAACAGGTCAAAACAAACACCGTGTCACTTCTGAAAATGTCATTTTTGAAATATCAGATATTATAATTATTAATTGCAAAAAGGTATAAATAGAAGGCCAGAAATTGCCTTAGTACATCTGTAGATTTTAATAAATCGTTGTAGAAGTATGTAGTCTCTTTGTTCATTAAACCTTTCCTCTGAGAATTTGAACAGTTCTGTGAATTTTAAATGAAGAAAACTTGATTTTATGAGTATGGTATTGCATTTGCTTTAGATCAGGAATAGTTTTAAACACACAGTTTTTAATGCATGTGGACAGCAGCCACATTTTTAATTGCTGCAAGAAACAAGATTTTAAAAGAGACAGAGATTAGAGATACCAGATACATAGCAGGATACTGAAAGTCTCCTGGTTTTAGTGCTTTGCTATACAAACAAAGGCATAATCAATGCTGATTACTGCTGTGTTACACTGTATTTAAGGACTCTCAATGAATGCTCAAAAATTTTCCCTGGAAAATTCCTGCTTTTTTCTGTTCAGATAATCTCAAAAAACCCCACAAAAAACCAGAGTAACAGTGAAGTAGTCTTTTGATACACTAGTATTTCTCTGAAAGAAAACGACACCCATTCTGTTTCAGCAATAATTTCAATGTACTGCTTTCCTCCTCTTTTTTTTTTTTTTTTTTTTTCCAAGTCATTCATGTTGTACATGTTTCACTTCCTCCTTTTTTAATCATACTGTAGAAGCAGGGAATACCTCTAGGTGTTTTCTATTGTTCTGGTTCTGCTACTTTCT